ACTTTTTCTCTCTTCTTTTGGACCATATCCCTTTAGTAAAAAGTCGTAGTGCCTTAGTGTTTATTGTTCGCCTTGACGAGGCCTTCGATTCCAACCGATTTGAATCACGTTTTGGCCCTTTTTCAAGTTCAGGTTTCAAGCCAAGTTTGGATTTTGGTATAACCTCCTTACGGTTTAATGTTTGCCTTATTGCCCCTGACAAAACACCGAAGTTTCGTCGGATTCGGAGCAGTTTCGTTTCGGTTGGGATTTGAGATTTCATCTCAAATTGAGGTAGGGGATGTCATAGGTTTATATTTGAGTTGTATTGATTGTTTTGTAGTCTTATACAACTTGTATGTATGCTTTGGTTCAAGTTCTAGAATTTAATTTAATTATTGTCTATGTTTAAGATTAATTCTCATGATGGTATACAACTTAAAATTAAATTGTGGCATGCTAGTAAATTAGGCATTGGTATGTTTGGTAACATATATTAAATTGGGAGCATTTGACTAAGAATTGCAACTTTTATTTAATAATTATCTTTTGTGAAAGTTTAATTCACATAATTGTAACAAGTATGAAATCAACTTGTAATGTGATATTAAAATAGGCATTGGTATGTTCTTCAACCTTTGTTAAATTGAGGACATTTGGAGTTGTTTAAAAATCTAGATAAAATTAATTAATTAGCTTAATTAATTTTATTCTAAGTGTTTAACCACTTAAATGGATATTTGATGTGATATATGTAAAGACCATGATATGTTCATTAATATATATTAATCTAAGGCAATTTGGGATTGATTTGAAATCTAGAGAGTTTAATTATTTTGTTTGATTAAATCCTATTTACTTGTTCCCTGGATTTAACTATGCCTTAGAACTTGTTTCTATGTTTAAATCATGGTACTCAGACTTAGTATGATATAGGATATTATTGTCTTGCAAAGCTCGTTTAAATATATCTTGTGTAGGTATATAGCTTGTTTAGAATATTACAATTGATTACCTTGAAAGTTAGTTACTAAATTGTAGCTTATTCTGTACTTGTGGCGTAGGATGGTAATTTGGCTCAATTGTTGTAGAATATTCTTCTTTTGGGTATAAATTGCATATTGAGAACTCGACATATCATATGCCACTTAGACTTGAATTCTAGAACATGATTTGTGTGGATTCAACTTTACTTGTGCATAAAAGATGATTTTTATGCATTATTTGATTTTGTACAAGTTTGGTTTAACTTATTGATTTTACATAAGTTTTGAACTTATTGATTTTGCAAGGTTTGTAAGGACAAAATACAGGTGATGGCTAGGGTTTGGCTCTAGTATGGAGATAAGAGTGTTCTAAGTTATAAGTGCACACTAGGTGGTACCTTGTAGGTCGTAATTACCCAAACAAACTTGCTTGGTCAGAGACCATGGGTCCTAGTCATTCCACTATTTGATTTCGCATTTAAATTCAAGTTGTTAATCATTGATTACTTATAACTTGAGAATTGGTGCTCACCTTGTGGGTTTGGATTTCATTTAGTACACTTGGAACTGTATACTTGCTTCGTATATTTAGATCTCATTTAGTATACTTGTGATTGTATACTTGATTTACGAATTTTCCATATCAATTGTATACTTGTGTAGGTATGCCTAGACATTACATAACTTATTTTGATATGGTTTAGTATACTTGAAAATGTATGCTTATATGTTTTATATTGTGTTTTAACATCATTTTGTACACTTGAGTATGTATACTTGTATGCCGTTGTTCATTTCAATTGCATGAATAGCTTAGGATGATCCCTGAGTCTCACTTACGACATAGACGTTAGGTCGTATGATCCTCTTGAGCTGTTTCATGTTAAAGTAATTACCTTGTAAAAAGTTAGGTCGATGCATGCTCATTCCCTACGAGTAACTTGTTTACTCACCCCAAAGTTATCGGGCTGTTTTCAGGTACGGATGCCTTGAATTGGGATGCACAATGTCCCTATGTCGTTTCGTTGGATTGAAGTTCTTTTAAATGTATTCTTGTTCACATGAAGTGTTAACATGCTTAGCTTCTCTTTTGAATTGTAATGTAATTGTCTGGTTTAACATGTCAATTCCAATTCCAGATATGTAATGAGTGCCTAAGCACTCTTTTTAGTATTCATTTGATATGTATGACATGAGGCCAAGGGACAAAGCATGTTTATATTTGCACTTGTACTCATTTGGCGCCATATTTTGTTTAAAAATGTATTTTTATCAACTTTGGAGGTTTGACATGTAAAATCTTGTAAATGAAATATAATGAGGCTATAGACCATTGTAACGCATCTAAAATACCATATTACACTTGCGTGTTTGTTCACATCATCACACAATAATGTATAATGTAAATTGATCATGCTATGAGGGATTCAAATGAGACTTAAGAACTCTTTTCAGCTTTGGTGCATAGTAGGCCTGATTTTTACATTTTCGACCTATTTCAGTCGACCGGTAGCTCATTTCGGTCATCCGGTTCATTGTTCAATTTGATTTGAATAGTATTTTGTCAATTCCAGTAGCCAAAGTTCAATTTGGGCCACAACCGGTCGACCGATGTGTCATTTCGGTCTATCGATGTGTTTTTCCTTCATTTTCAGATTTGGGGTCATTTTGGGTTCATTTCGGTCGAGTGAAATGGCATTTCGGTCAACCTAAACACTTCAGTTCTTTATTCTTCAGTTTTGGGACAGCACTGTTACTCCGACTTCAAGTGGTCATATCTTCTTCATTTCTTGTCCAAATTAGGTGATTTTTGAGTCTAAACTCAAGGATTTTGAGTTAGTTTTCCAATGGTACCAATGCCATTCTCAGATTCAAATCACAGTGGGAGTTATGATAGTTTTAGTGAGATAGGGTTGTGGTATCTCCTAATCGGAGAACGTCGTTTCGTCCTATCTTCATATCTTCTTCATCCGGACTCCGAATCAAGTGATTCTTGAGTCTAACTTTGTTGATTTTTCGTTGCCTATCCAATGGTGTACACGATGACACCCATTTCATTTTGGAATGACTATTTTTCCCTTGGTCCATTCCTTGGAGGGTTTTAAAATCCTAACTTCTGTCTCACTTCCATTGAGTCATAGGACTCCTGGGAAGGCAAATCTTAGATGATGTACATCTCTATAGACTTGTTTATGTTTTGCTTCTGTATTTTGGATCTGTTTTGGGTCATCACAGGACACACTGGGTTGGTAAAAATCTAAGGTCGTTACAACTCTGCTCTCTAATCTGATGTTGGCGGGTGAGGGAGTGGCGATGCGTCCCTTCGTTCCATCCTGGATCTGAGCTCGGCATTCTCCCATCGTAGAGTTTCAATGACCTGCATCAGCTCATCATACCTCACTCATAGTTCTTCTTCCGGTTGGCGGAAACCTTATTTTTCGATCATAGTTACCGATTGGAGTTGTGTCATTCGTTACTGGAATCAATGGATCTTTCCTTCGTTCCCAAAGATAGCGCCAGATGAAGATGTAAGAAATAATTCTCTGTATTAGGAAAGAATTTTCTTACACTCCAAACAATCTTTTTCATTCTCTCTCTAACTCCTATTTATATAAGTTTACATTTGCCCTAAAGTTCCTCTCTTGGTTCTCACGCTTGGGCCTTTTCTGAACTGGGTCTCTTTCTCGGGCAATGATAGGTGTAAGGGCCACATGGAATGTATGTGGAGTCGGGCCTGGCATCGACCTTACTATGAACGGGCTGGGCCAGTAGAGGCCCAGTAAAGCTCCTGGACCTTTGGTTGGTTGACCTAAAACCGAGAATGCTCCTTGGTTTTGCTGGTCTGGCCCAGGGACCGTTTCGACCGCTTTAGTTACTTAAATGAGGCGGTGGGCTGGGTTGCTTTTGGCCTGGTGGATTTTCTGCCCCTTTAGCATGTGTGTATGCGCATGTGTCTATATATATACATATATATATATATTAAGAGAAAGAGAGAGATAAAGGAGAAACTTTGTTATCGAGATACTTTTTCCTTTTAATTTTTTCAATTATCAGGCTTTTTCTTCGATTTTCCTTTTACTCTGTTAGGTTTGTTAGGGTTAGGGCTTGAGAGGGGAAAGAGAATAAGAGAGAGGAGAGAGAAAAAATGGGTTTCTCATATGGGTTGTACCCGGTAACTTATTTAAACATATTTGATTAAAGGGTATTTAAGTCAATAAAAAAGGGTTATAGTTGACAATTTTATATCAAATGGTAATAAAGTCAATTCACCATTGTCAGAATGCTTTTGTTAATTTTATTAAACCTGAAGGGGTGTCATTATCCAAAAATAGGATAACTTGTGTATGGTTGTCCTTATCCCAAACTTCAGGAGGTGTCATTGTACTTTATCGTAAAATATATAATAGAGCCCTGTGCCATGGCTTGCTTGTAAGCTTGATCATATGCAACTTAATTATTTTAATCGTGCTGGAGGAAAAATATATAAATTGCTTATGTATTAGGAGATACATATGCTCACTCACATGCATAAATTATGGAGTAAATTACAATGACCTCTCCTGGGATTTGGGCAAATTACACACGGATAGAGGATTTGATCTTTATTACTTTGATCTCTTCTAAAATTGTGAAATGTCTTTCGTACATTTATCTAATTTAATAATAGTTTAATGAAAAATTTGTCAAAATAAAAGACTCCATTACCCTTTTATTTAATTTTTTTTTTTTTTTTTTCATCTTGTAAACACCATATTACCTTACCTAATTTTTTTTTTCCTTTTAATTATCATTTTCCTTTTTCTTTCTTTTTCAAATAAAAAAATTATTTAATAGGCTTCTGTTTTCTCCCTTATTATTATTATTATTATTTTCCATTTAAGTTATTTAATTTAGTCTTTTTAAACAATGTGTTACGTTGGGTGGTAAAGAATTGCGGGACTTTGAAATTCGAATTAAAGTAAAATTAATTTTTCAAAATTTTTCAAATTCTTAAATTAATAAAATTCGAATTCAAGGCTAACTACATCTAATCGCATTACACATTTGTTCCAAAACCCAATTACCTCCTGCCATGTGCTCCCCTTCTTCTCCACACACGTAAACCCTAGAAATGTCAGACCTTCCGGCGGAAGTAATCGCCGAGATACTTTCAAGACTACCGGTAAAACCAGTTCTGCAGTTTAGGTGCGTGTCGAAACCATGGTGTGCTCTCATCGACAGCCCACATTTCATCAGATCGCATCTAAATCGATCAATGAAAACAAACACGAATCGAAGCTTCATCTTTAGAGCTGAAGACCTTTACTCCGTAGACTTGGATTCTCTCGATCATGCCGCAGAGCTTGACAATCCTATGAAGAACGAGGAAGGAACTAAAGTGGTGGTTTCTTTCCATGGCTTGGTTGTTTTGTCCAAACCTTTCTACCAAGACGTCACTCTGTGGAACCCTTCCACTCGAAAACACCGCAAGTTACCGGTCTCACAGGTTGAGTTCCCGCGTGGATGGCGCCATTTTAATTATATTGTGTTCGGGTTAGGGTTTGATTCTGTAAATGATGACTACAAATTGGTGAGGATGGTACAGTTTGTTGGCAAAGATGATGATGATTCATTTCATTCTGAAGTTAAAGTTTATAGTCTAAAATTGAATAGATGGCGAAGGGTTCAAGATTTCCCTTATTACCTTGCATACGAGGCTTCATCTGCTATGACCTTTAATGGGTCTCTGCACTGGCTTGTGACTCGAAAACCCAAGTCCGATAGGTCCATTTTGATTGCTGCTTTTGATCTTGGGGTTGAGGAATACCGATTGGTGCCTCTACCTGATTATATGAATGGTGATCTTGTAATGAATGTTGATGCCTTGGGAGGATGCCTTTGTGTTGTTTGTAATTATTATGGAGACCAAACTGATATATGGGTGATGAAAGAATATGGAGTAAGGGAGTCTTGGACTAAATTGTTTTCTGTTACTCAATCAATTATGATTAGTCCATTCTTTTATTTGATGCCTTTGGCCTATTCAAAGAGTGGTGGGGAAGTACTTTTGCAAAAGGACAATGCAAGTCTTTTCTGGTATGACTTGAGAAAGGAAAAAGTATCAAACATTCGAATTCATGGTTTAAAGTATTTTGTAGAAGCTTATATTTGTGTTGAAAGCCTTGTTCCGCTGCATGGTGATGGTGGAAGGGATTGTAAGAAGCAGCAAACACGAAAGAAGATGATGAAACAAAACAATAGAAGGGAAGGAATGGTAAGAAGCAGCAAGCACAAAAGAAGACGATGAAGCAAAACAATAGAAAGGAGAAGTAAGTCAGTTGTGTTCTTATTGTTATGCCTAATTTCTTTATTACTACTATTTATAGACATTTTGATCCTTCAAATGAATTTTTTTTTTTTTTTTTTTTTTGATAAGTAAAAATATATTAGAAAAACGTTCAAAAGGGGAACGCGTCTCTAATACACAAAAACGAAAGAGCAAAAGCCAAACTTACGGACCAACAAAGTCCAATAGAACAAAAAAGGCATCGATCGAGGAGCAAGCGTTGCCTCTAATATAACAGAAAAGAGAGCGTAGAATAAAAGACTTAAGGTTTGCAAAAGACGATTCATTTCCTTCAAAGTTTCTGTTATTTCTCTCTCTCCAAATACACCACCCCACTGAACGCCAAAAATACTGAATATGAGATTCCAGCAATCAAATGCCACAGGACAATGTATAAGAAGATGGTCCACGGACTCACCATCATTTTTACAAAGACAACACCAATTAACAATGGTATTACCTCTCTTACGCAGATTATCCAATGTTAGAATTTTTCCCCAGGTAGCAGTCCAAACAAAGAAGGCAACTCTAAGAGGAGCTTTAGAGCGCCAAATACACTTCCATGGGAAATCATATCCAATAAAATTAGACAAACACAAGAACATGGATTGAACTTCGAATCTACCATGAAGAGAGGGAGTCCACAAAATATTATCATAACCTCTGCTAACATCCTTCTGTCTATACAACAGGTCCAAAAAGACGCAAACTTCAGCTATCTCCCAATCCTGAAAGGAACGCCTAAAACGCACATCCCACATAACTTCACAATTATCAAGATGATAACAGTCAATTACGTAAGCATGCTTATTCTCGGCAATGCTAAAGAGACGAGGAAAAGAAAGAGACAACAACTGATCACCACACCATAAGTCTTCCCAAAATCTAACTTACATACCATTACGAACCTTAAACCAAATATGGGTGGAAAACACATCCCAACCTTTCCGAGTGAACTTCCAAACGCCAATGCCCCCGGTAATAGAAACAAGACGAGAGGACCAACCTCCACTCTCCTCCCCAAAACGACACGAGATAACTCTTCTCCATTGTCGATGACGCTCTTTACCGAATCTCCATAACCACTTCCCTAATAAGGCTTTATTGAAAGGGACTAACTTCCGGATACCTAAACCGCCAAACTTCGACGGTTTGCAAACCTACTCCCAATTAACAAGATGATACTTAAATTCCTCTCCTTTTTCACCCCAAAGAAAATCTCTCTGAATTTTTTCAATTCGTTCAGCAACAGAACACGAGATCTGAAACTGAGATAAGAAATATGTGGGAAGGGCCGAGAGGGTGCTCTTAATAAGAGTGACCTTTCCCCCTTTCGAAAGATACGGTTTTTTCCATCCCGCCAATCTTTTTTCATACCTGTTAATCACCGGATCCCAAGTCCCCACTATCTTCGAGGAGATTCCCAAAGGTAAGCCTAGATAAGGGAGTGGAAAGGCACCCACTCCACACCCAAGAACAACAGCTAAAGTGGAAATACTAGAGACCTCCCCCACTGGGACAAGCACACTCTTTCCAACATTAATCTTAAGACCAAACACTGCTTGGAAGCATGTAAGAATGCACCTCAAATACTTGAGTTGGAAAACATCAGCATCACAGAAAACCAGGGTATCATCTGCAAACAACAAATGGGATATCTCAATCTGGTTAGCAACATCTCTGCCAACAGTGAAACCCCTTATGTAACCCAGATTCTCTGCCTTTTTCATTAATTTACTCAATCCCTCCATGACAATAAGGAAAAGAAAAGACGACAAAGGATCTCCTTGTCTCAAACCACGCGAACTCAGAAAAAAACCAGCAGGAGAGCTGTTCACAAGCACAGAGAACATAACTGATGAGATGCAAGATTCAATCCATTTTATCCATCGATCTCCGAACCCCATTCTTCGAAGCAAGTAAAGAAGAAATTTCCAATTCACATGATCATAAGCTTTCTCGATATCCAGTTTGCATAAAACACCAGGAACTTCACTCTTTAACCTGGAATCGACACATTCTCCTGCAATAAGAATAGAATCTAAAATCTGTCTACCACTAACAAAAGCATTTTGTGACTCTGAGATGATTCCATCCAAAACATTCCGCATTTTAAGAACAAGGACCTTGGCAATAAGCTTATACATACACCCCACTAAACTGATTGGCTGAAAGTCCTTAATGTCAGAGGCGTTGCTCTTCTTAGGAATAAGAGCAATAAAAGATGCATTTAATGATTTCTCGAATGTGCTATGAGAATAAAATTCTTGAAAAGTGCCCATTACCTCATTACGCACCACCTCCCAACTCTCTTTAAGAAACTGCATAGTGAATCCATCTGGCCCTGGAGCTTTATCACCATTACAACTGGATAACGCCTTAAGAACTTCCTCTTCAGAGAAAGGAACCTTAAGCATATCACTATCCAGTGTAGAAATAGCATTGAGGTGCAAACCATCAAGTTTTGGTCTCCATTCCAAAGTCTCAGTATAGAGTTGCTGATAAAAAGAAACAATACCCCCACGCACCTCATCTTCTTTCCACAACCCTGAATCATTCACACGAATACGCCCAATAGTATTGTATCTTCTATGAGCGTTAGCAAGTCTATGAAAGAATTTAGTATTACGGTCACCTTCTTTAAGTCACAAAGCCCGAGATTTCTGACGCCACGATATCTCCTCCATAGTAGCAATCTCAGCAAAAGTCGCCTAACAAGACGCTCTTCTAGAGCGTAGAGAATCCGTATCTTGCCCTGTCTCATCAAGATGATCAAGTTCAGCGATATCAGCTAGGACTCTATTTTTCTTCCATTCAAGACTCCCAAACACTTCTTTATTCCATTTCTTAAGCTCAGATTTGAGAATCTGAAACTTCTTAGCAAGCACATAGCTAGTAGAGCCAGTAAGCGTTGTTTCTTCCCACCAGGACTGGACCTTCCCTTGGATGTCCTTAGCTCTCAACCACATATTTTTGAAACGAAATGGAGTCCGTTTAGATCTCATGCCTCCACAATCAAGGACTAAGGGCACATGATCAGACGTGACTTTAACTAAAGTTGACTGAGTGACATCCGGAAACTTCTCCTCCCAATCTCTAGAAATCAGGAATCTATCAAACCTCGATAAAGTAACTGGGTCTCTGCCACTAGACCAAGTGAAAGTTGCCTCTTCCAAAGGCAAGTCAATAAGAAGGTGACCATCAATAAAGTCAGAGAACTGGGTCATCTCTGAAGACCACCTCCCCCCTGTGGATCTTTCAAATGGAGACCGAACAGAATTGAAATCCCCGCCTAAGCACCAAGGCAACGGCTTCAATTCCTTAATGTAACTGAGTTCTTGCCAAAGAGCAGGTCTAACACAATCAATAATGGGTCCATAAACTCCAGAAAATACCCAACTGAAGTTATCATCTTCCATCTGAAACACTCAAGACAAAGAAAATAGCCCTTTCCAGATATTCGTTCTGGACATCCATCTACAATCCCAGATAATAAGAATGCCGTTTGATGTACCATAGGTGTTCAAGGCTTCCCAATCCACGAACCTACTTCCCCAAAGGCTTCTAACCACGGCATCAGAAATAGAAGCCAACTTGGTTTCTTGCAAACAAATAACATGGGCATTCCACTTCTTCAAAGCAACTTTAACCACCTTTCTTTTGTCTGGATCATTTAATCCACGGATGTTCCATGTAATAATTCGTATCTTCATTGAGAACCAAAGATAATTAGTGCCCCTCCTCCCTGCTTCCCACTTCTAGTCCTTCCCCTTTCTTTATTCACCCCATCCTTCCCTTCGTAATTGATATTGGAAATAAGGTTTTTAACCTCCTGATCACCTTTCCGATGTGCATTTTTCTTATTTTTAACAACTTTTGTGCTTTTAAAGGTCTCTGCATTATTGTTTCCTGCCACAATATTATGAAGAATGGTTTGTGTTCGATCATCATCTCCTTCCGAGGAGACACCCAAAGCTTCCCTGATCTCGCCAATATTATCCAACACCCAGTTCATACCCATATCGTTAACCGTCTCTAAGCAATTAGGGTGCACAGTTGCTAAGGGTTCCATAATGTCCACATTAGATTGATCAACATCCCAGGCAAGAGGACAAATCTGTTGAAACTGATCATCAAAGTCCTCCTTTTTGCTTTCAGCACTGTTCTGATACAAGTTTAATTGCAGATTTAACTCTGTTCCAGTGTCATCTATAAAATTTTTCATTAAATCATGGGTAGAATTGGTCCCAATCATGGAGGGTAGACCATTTAAGCCTTTTAGAGCAACACAGAGCTTAAGTTCATTAAGTAAAGTCACGGCTAAATTATCTTTCGGCTTAAAATGAAGGTCTCGACCAACACAAACTGTCACCCCGTTGGAACAGTCAATACTTCCGGACTTGGACATTGAAGACGGTGATTCTGCATCCTGTTGTACAATAGCTTTAGAAAAACCTCTCTTTTGATCCAAACGATCCTCCACTCCACCTTCACCATTTCCCAGCACCTTACTTGAAGAAGGGGTTGGTCAAACCTGGAGAAGGAGAAGGAGAGCGTGCTACCCATTTCTGTTTTTCAGTACGAGTCCATCGAGTACCTTGTCGACTAGCTGAAACAATCGGCCGTCTCCACTTTTCTTTCTCAGTCCGACGCTGAAATGAAGAAGAGGAGAGAGTTTGATTTTGGTTTTGGGCTTGAGTTTTAACCTGGGCTTTCCTTGGATCTGGGTCATTAAGAACTGAAACAGAAAATGAGTTTGGTCCTCTAATAACCCGTCTTTTAGTATGGGCTGGCTTAGGCCCAAAATCAGGCTTGAACCTTAATGCTTTAGTTTGCCCATAACCCCTCCGGCCTGAATCAACTTTAGGCTAATCTGTGTGGCCCAACCCATCTTCCTCACCAACCCTTGTAGATAAGGATAGTGTGAAATCTGGAAATGAACCTCTATGAGCGCCACGTGTAGAATAATTGTTATCAGCTGTGACGCGCGTAACCGGCGCGTGTCGTTGACTTGATCTTCCTCGTACCCATCCTTCCTTCGGCATATGAGTAGGCCCGTCGCCGCCTTCAATACTCTCTGTTGAGGGAACCAACGCCGACGCAATTTCTTCCCAAATCGCCACCCTGTAGCAGAAAGTGTCATCATTAATAAACACAAATTGCGGATAGGTTGATTCTATTCTCACTGTAATACGAACACTCTCGGCATCCCTGGTTTCATCGGCAACAGCTCCCACAAATCCGCCGCATAACTCCCCTACTTCAACAAATAGGGCATGACACCATAGATGAAGGGGGAGTCCAAACATCCGGATCTGTTTGAGACCTTTTTCTCTAAGGACGCCACAACATCCAACCCTAAAAGACCACACATCGATCCGTAGAGTTGTAGATCCCCAATGACGCCGTCCTTCCTTTAACATGCGTTGGGCTTCGGCCTGAGAAGGAAACCTGAAAAGGAGCATCGAATCAGATAATGGAGTAACCCCCACACCACAGGATGTATTCCATGCTTTCGCCGCCCATTCCTCCACACGATCACATCCCCTAACTTTCTTATCAAAACGACCAACCAAGCAAGATGAGAGTACTGATTTCCTCCCTCCGACGGACTTCCCGTCGATATACAAAGACGGTCCTCGATGCGGAACAGCCGACTTCACATCCCCAGTTAATGAAATTCTTGGAATCCTTGCAGTTTCTAAGTAAGATTTCATCGCAAAAAAGATGCGAAACAGCCGACTTCACATCCCCAGTTAATGAAATTCTTGGAATCCTTGCAGTTTCTAAGTAAGATTTCATCGCAAAAAAAAAAAAAAAAAAAAAAAAAAAAAACACAAAAAAGAAGAAGAAAATCCTTCAAATGAATTGGCCCTATATATATCTTGAAATAAGAGTTCATCTCTTTAATATTGTTTACAGCACTGTTTTGTTTTATGTAGTTACATTGCAATTGCTGAGGCCACTATTAAGTTCTCACCTTCTAGCAGTATACATTTACCAATGGAAAAGTCCGTGATGAGGACACTCTCATATGAGTCGTTGTCATTATCCATTTGATCGACTTTCCTTTTATGCCACATACTTGATGTGAGTCGTGACCGTGAGTTTATGATGAGAGCACTATCATTATAGACTTCTCTTTACCCATTATTAGGATGATGAGTAATAACATAATAATGTTAGAAGATAAAGACTCAAAGGGAGATAATGATTCCAAAGATGGTAAGGGTGGATAAGTGAAGATATATACAAGCCCTATAGATATCAGCTACCTTTTGAATTTTAAATATTGTAACTGAAGTACTTCAGATATTGTTTGTTGTAAAACCCAAGTATAAATCTGGAACCAGTCTTGTAATATGAGTACTGTGTGAAAAGAGCTTTAACATTTTATCAATTTCTATATGGTATCAGAGCATTGATCCTGCAAATTTTTTTTTTTTTTCCTTTGCTGCATCGGCACCTTGGTGTCGCAACTCTTTATCGGTAGCTCTTTCTACCTTCTAGTTAACCTCTTATAATTAGCTCCTTCTACCTTCCATCAGTAGCTCAGTTAAAATGGCTCAAAACATTTCAAGTTTGTCTATTGGTAACTATGTTTCAATCAAGTTAACCATGACAAACAATCTTTTATGGAAGACACAGATTTGGATCTTTAATTGAAGGTGAAGATCTAGTTGGCTTCATTGATGGATTAGTCAATGAACCAACAAAATTTGTTACTCAAGATGGCAAGGATGAAACAATCAATCCTAGTTTCGTGAAATGGAGAAAGTCTGACCGAATGCTAAAATCATGGTTAACTGGAACCATGTCTGAGAAAGTTCTTAGCCTTGTTGTTGGACTACGGATAGCTAAAGAAGTTTGGAGCTGCCTAGAACATACATTTGCTCGGGCATCGAAGGATCGAGAATTACAACTTCAATGACAATTGCAACTGATTTGCAAAGGTACGGATTCAATTAATGATTATATTCGGAAGTTTAAAAAAATTTGTGATGATCTTGCAGCCATTCAAAAGCCCATCTCTAATGACGACAAAGTATTTTGTCTCTCCAATGGGTTAGGGCCACAATACGAAGGTTTTGTGACATCGGTGATAACAAAACCCCCAATGCCATCATATGAAGAATTTGTTGCAGCCTTAGTCAGTCATGAACTAAGAATTCAAGCATATGAACAAACCGAAAGCACACACTCAAATGTTGCTTTCTTCGGCAATCGTTCTTCTGTTAGAGGAAATGGCCGATCCAAGGAAAGAGGGAGGAATTTTAATAAAGGCTTCAATTCAAACAATGGACGACAAAGTCAAGTATTTAATTCGAATGCCAGACATAATGAGCAGCAAATAAACATCTCTCCTCAACAAGCACATAAAGGAAATCCTATTGCACAATGGAATACAAGAATGCCTAGCCATGCCGACGAGCAAAAGCATCGAAATTCTAGCAGACCTTAATGTCAAATTTGCAACAAATTGTGTCACACTGCCATCAAATGTTGGAATCGTTTCGATCATTCATACCAAGCTGATGGTGTTCCTCAAGCTCTCGCAGCCATAGATATCTCAAATGGGTCAGATCCAAATTGGTATGCAGATACTGGTGCTACCGTCCACCTCACTTCTGGAGAAGGTAACCTTACTAATTGCTTTCCTTATTAAGGCAATGATAGGATTTATGTAGGAGATGGCAAAGGACTGAAAATATCACATACTGGTGACTTGAATATACCTTCTAATCCTGAAAATATTTCTTTGAAAGTAGTGTTAGTGGTTCCCCAAATTAAAAAGAATCTCATCTCTATTAGCAAGCTTACTGAGCAAAATTCTTGCATAGTTGAGTTCTCACCAGAAAATTTTGTTGTTAAGGATTGAATGACAGGAAGAATTCTAGCAACGGGGAGTAAGAAGGAAGGATTTTATGCTTTGGATCGGGAAAACCATGTTTTACTTACTCTCAAGTTCGGTAAAATTCCAGAAGGAATATGGCATGAACGGTTGAGTAATGCACATTTGAAAACTTTGAAAAATCTAAGTTCTCATGAATTTATTAATGTTAGTGCTTGGAATAAACCATCTCATTCAAATGCAGTTTGTCGACTTAATCGAGCTCTTTATGGTCTTAAGCAGGCACCACGTGCATGGTTCCATCGGTTCAGTACTTATCTTCTCAACTTGGAATTTATTTCAAGTAAGGCTGATCCTTCTTTATTTGTCATGCACTTTTCCAGTGGTTCTTGTTTTCTCTTAGTGTACGTGGACGACATTATTCTCACAAGTAACAATTCTTCTTTGCTTGACGAATTAATCCACAAGCTTAGTGCTGAGTTCTCTATAAAAGACCTTGGACCTCTTCATTACTTCTTGGGTATAGAAGTCTCATTTACTTTAGATGGACTCAATTTATCTGAGTCAAAATATGCCAAGGACCTTCTTGCGTGCACCCAAATGCTTACATGCAATGCTATATCCACACCAATGGCTCCGAACCATCATGGTCAGCAGTCGACATGTCCTCTTGCAGATCCAACACAATACCGCAGCATTGTAGGAGCCCTTCAATAACTGACTCTCACTCGGCCAAATCTTTCTTATGCAATTAATCATGCCTGCCAATTCATGCATGCTCCTGCAATAGCACATTTTCAGCAGCTCAAGCGTATTCTTAGATATGTGAAAGGCACCATTTCTCATGGCTTACATTTTCACTCTCGCACTTCACCGCATTTATATGCCTTCTCTGACGCAGATTGGGCTGGCTGCCCAACCACACAACGGTCAACAACTGGCTATTGTATTTTTCTTGGTGCAAATTTAATTTCGTGGCGTTCCAAGAAACAACCTACAGTTGCCTGCTCTAGTGCAGAAGCAGAGTATAGGGCTATGGCTTATACCGCTGCTGAAATTATGTGGCTCACATTTCTCTTTCGAGACCTTTGCGTTCCAATTCTCCGAAAACCAGAAATTTATTGTGATAGAATTAGTGCCTTTTACTTGAGCACCAACCCCGTTTTTCATGCACGAATGAAACATGTTGAAATTGATTGTCAATTTGTTCGTGAAAAGGTTACTCAAGGTCATCTTACAACCAAGTTCGTGGCTGATTGTTTGACTAAACCACTCTCCAAAGATCACTTTTGCGTCTTCGGCACAAGCTGGGTATTTACTCTGTACCTAGTATCAGCTTGACAGGGAGTAATAACAGAATACTGTTGGAAGATAAAGACTCAATAGGAGATAATGATTCCAAAGATGGTAAGGGTAGATAAGTGAAGATATATGCAAGCCCCATAGATATCGGCTAACTTTTGAATTTTAAATATTGTAACTGAAGTAATTCTTCAGATATTGTTTGATGTAAAACCCAAGTATAAATCTAGAACAAGTCTTGTAATATGAGTATTGTGTGAAAAGAGCTTTAACATTTTATCAATTTCTATAATGAGAGCACTATTATTATAAACTTCTCTTTTCCATTATTAGGTGACAAATTGTAATTCACATGTAGTGGACTTATTGTATACATGGAATTTAGCTAATAATTTACATGTTGCCTTTTTTCCCCTCTTAGAGACGATTTCCTGGCAAAGGGGTTCAAGCTGGTGCTTTAAGCAACTGGAAGAGCAAAGGAGTGAGAAGGTGCAGATATTAGGGTAATCTATTTTGGTACTATCTTTCACATCAGTACTTGTGGAGTAGGTCTTTTGTCTTTTGCTTTAACTTGATCATCAATATGGGCTAGTTTAACTTTAGTGGTATTCTATGCTATAGATAATGCGATAATTGTAGAAAAAAGATGAAAATTTGTATTTCTCTCAGGGAGTCGGGATTGGTGTTGAATTGGTGGTGCCGTAATTGGGCATATTATAAGGTCTGGGGATGGAAGGAGGAAAGAAGATTAAAGATTTTGTCTTATAATATGCGACATACTCTTTTTGTTGAAACAAATTTCTTGTAGTTAAAAGATATATGATCTTGACTTCTGAAAGTTCTAGTTACTGATGTTTATCACAATTGACATGTCAGATTGTTTGTTAGCCATGTTCATTTTTGTAAATGTGTCCAGTCTTTGTTGTTGAAAATGGAGATTGAAAAAATCGAAATCATTGGCTGTGAATTTGCTGGAACCTATTAGTTGGAATCTGCGCCTTTCCATCTTGTGTGAACTGTTACCCTATTCATGTTCATCCTGGAGAAGGAATTTATCTTTCTGATTCTAGATATGGAGTTGAGAATCGAGTCGATTAACATGATATTCAGAACGGGTGCAGTAGGGAAATTTGTTACACAAATATCGAAATGCTTTCGAGACATGTATAATTGCTCAATTCATAAATTTGTACATACTTTTGGCTTGGCCCGAATTGGATTTATCTGATTTTCGGACTTTTAGCCGAAACCATTTCTCAAAATTTTTGTTAATTTGTTTGACTTCCGATTTTTTTGAAAATTTAATTTCTTTTTCAGATTTTTGTTATTCATTTTCAACTTTGAATAATATGTTTCTCTCTTTTCCATTAAATCATTGATAAACTACTAATATTGCATATTGTTTGCTCAAATGTTTTGGTAGTACAGCCGTTAGTTTAGTTTTTTTAATCAACGAAGAACTGACTGTTGAAACCCTGATTCTCGGTAAATTTAACTCACTACCGGCTTTTGGGCTGGAATCTGGATGGACTGACATGGGTTCAGGGCATTTCAAGACTGCTTTTGTGATCTGGATAAACTGGAGTTCTTTAGCTGATTTTGGATTATTGTTTTTATATTATGGATTATGGTCCTTAGAACTATTTTCTTATTTATTCAGCTTCTGTTTAGACTAATATATATAGCTTATGAAAAAAAAAGAAGAAAGAAGAGAAGAATGCGAATGTTAGAACCATGTGAGCACTGGTGATCTTGCAACATAAGGGTATATGATCTTGGCATGACTTTGTATTTTCCCACTTAAGTTGTGTAATTAATTGCAATGATTTATTAGGTGCTTGTCAATTGAATTCAATTGAGACTCTTGTATGTGCTTCATCATGCATGGACTCTAATTGGAATGTGTGGCAAAGAATAGATATTAGGCTATTGCATTTGATAAGGCCCCGTTTGGCATGCTGTTTTTGTTTTTGGGCTGCTACAATGTTGATTTTGGCAACAAAAGTATGTTTGGTGCGGCCTTGTTTTATTTTATACGGTGCTAAAATACTTCGTGAACAGTGGCTCAAAATTAAAATACTAAAAATTTGTTTTTTCTTATTTTGACAACTATTCATGGCTCAAAATCATATTTTGTATGTTTCTGTTTTCGACATTTCCATAGCAAAACATCATTTTTAAACGTGCTTCTGATTTTTTTTTCAAAACTCTCTTGCAACAAAAACACTGTTTTTGGCATGCCAAATAGGAAATGATTTTTTATTTTTTTTTGTCCTTCCTTCCTGCAGAGTCAAAAATCCTTTTCTTATCCTCCCCACACTGTCTACTTCTCTTTCTCAAATCAAACCTAGCCTGCAATACCATTTCAACCATTTTGGCTTAGTCTAGCCTGCAATACCATTTCAACCATTTTAGCTTGTTCTGGTACTTACTATTTTCTTGTTTGGTATGACATCTAGAATGGAAATGATCATTTCCTATTGAATAAAAATTCATTCCGCTACTAAATGGATAGAATGAAAATTCATTACCAGGAATGAAATTCTTGGCCATCACCACCACCACCACCTTAATCAAAAAATTTGACATTTTAATTTCTACCGGATTCTTCAAATAAACAACTTAAAAGGGTAAGAGTTACATCCAATAGTTCTAGTGATGTGATCTAGGACAAAACCAGTACTATATATATATGGTAAACACACAACCTGTGAAAGAGCCGAATAAAGAAGTCATGCTTTAAAAAAGAATTCTTCATCTTCCCAGTAGATTTCTGTGCTAGAACTGGAAGAGTCGTGGTCGATTTCCTTCCCAGAGTTGAATAAATAAGAAAATAGCTCAATACCCAATATCCTCAGATCCGCTAACACATGAAACACGAAAAAAAAACAAAAGAAGAGAAAAATTGGATTCGGATTCCTAGTTCTACAATTTTTTTACGGGGCTACAACTGCAACTATTAAAGCAACTAAATCAATTATTGAAATGAGTTCAAATGGAAAAAAAAAAAATGTGTTGATAAATGAAATCCCAAATTTATTATTTTTTTATGAACGAGGTTATTTTATTGAACCCGAATCAAAATATTTTTTGGATTGGGTAGTTTAATCTCTCTCTCCTACTTGTATTATACATATTCACCGCAATTGATCTTTAAAAAAATAAATTATAACTTATTCTGAACCGTCCATTCTTACATCTAAAGGATTTCATTAAACCTTAGAAACCTTCCACTTCTCTTTCTTCTCTCCCAAAGAAGAAAGAATAAAAAGATTTGAAATCTTCCATTTGAGTTTCAAAAATAGTTCACCAAATTAAAATTCTTTTTTTTCATCAATTTAGAGATCTGTTAAAAAAAAAATCACAGCAAAACAATATCTTTTCGCTACATCATTTTTTTTTTTGGGTTAAGTGTAAAAAGCCCCTTTTTACTATTGATATAATCTAAAAAGGTTTCTGTGTAATATAAAACCCCTATATTATCAATTTGGTGCAAATAGACTCATGAAGACTTAAAATGACAATAATACCCTCACTTCAATTGAACAAATTAATAACAATAAATTCAGGCCATCTAAAATGACGAGAATACCCCCAAGAAGCCGTTGTATCCGATTCCTTCGACAGCAACAGTTTCATAAGAAGTATATAAAAAGCTCACATACGACTCCTAAGTCACTAATAGAAATGGAAATACGCAGATTTTTGCTCGTTTTTGAGAAGTCAAAAGCAGTGAGCAGACCTGTGTTTTAAGGGTTCATTTGGAGCAATCAGTCATGTTCTCATCAAATGTTTGATTTGTCAAATTTCCTAGAAAAGCTTACTATTCTAGAGCTACCTACGCTACACAAAGCTCAATATCCTAGTCCTTTCAAGGCGGACTACAGACCCAGCTTTTCTTTGTCAGATTAGTATTTCTATAATTACAATATTTCTGTCTCCTACTTCACTAATCTCAAGCAATACACATTGAATAGTTATCATTCATATCACTACCAACTCACGCATATGTGTTTTATGTGTATATATATTATCTGTGTATATATATTATATTCATAGCATTCATCTTCTTATCAGTTTTTATTTTATATATATTTTTTATTTTTATTATACTTATCAGTTTTTATTATATTATCAGATTTTATATATTATTAGATTATTATATTTTTATTATATTATCAATTTATTATATTTTATTATATTATATTATCAGTTTATTATATTTTATATATATTTTTATATTATCAGTTTTATTGTATATATTTTTTATTATTGGTTTTATTATATTATCAGTTTTATTATATTTTATATTATATTATCAATTTTATTATATTATCAGTTTTATATTTCTATTATAGTTTTATTATACTTATCAGTTCTAATTATTTTTTTTATCAATTAATTTAGGTTTCATTTGGAAACAAATAATATGTAGATATGAAGAGAGAGAGAGAGAGAGAGAGAATGGGGAGGGGGAGGGGGAGGGGGAGGAGACAAAATGGGTAGGGTACATCCACATATGGGTGAGGGACAAAACGGGAATTAAAAAAATAAAATAGGGTTTTTATATTCACTTTTTGGGAGGAGACAAAATGGGGAGGGGGAGGGGGAGGGGGAGGAGACAAAATGGGTAGGGTACATCCACATATGGGTGAGGGACAAAACGGGAATTAAAAAAATAAAATAGGGTTTTTATATTCACTTTTTGGGAGGAGACAAAATGGGCAGGGTGAGGGGCAAAATGGAATTAAAAGGATAAAATAGGGTTTTTATATTTACTTTTTGTCAAAAAGTGATTAGAGGGGTTTATTTGCATATTTTTTGAATTTTATAAATTGATATGCATATTTTCAAAAAGTAGAGAAGCCCGGTTTTTTTTTTTTTTTTTTTAGTACTTAACCCTTGTTTTTTTTTTTTTTTTTTTTCCCATCACCTACTCCCCGGGCCGGCCTTAGCCCTGGCCCAAGGCGACCAAGCAGACCAAGCCGATGCCTTTGGGCCTCAAAATTTGAGGCCCATGGGGGATTAAAAAAAAAAAAAAAAGGTTAGGATAAGTCTTGGTCGCCTTGGGCCTGAAATTTTAGAGGCCTCAAAGGGATGAAAAAAAAAACAAAACAAGTTAGGGCAAGTTTCAGACGACTCAATCTGCTTCGACATTCCGCAGGGCGCAGCCTCCGCTATCGCCTCAGGTGACAAGGTATGTTCATCCTCTTTCTCTCTTCTCCCTCCTTTTGCATGAATGATTCAGCCGGCTAGAGAGCGGGGCGTGTCTGCTGTGTCCCTTATATTGACCGAACCCTCAGTTCGGAGGTCTTCGGCGGGTCACCATTACTTGTCTTAGAAAGGCGAAGATCTGGGCAAGGGAAAACGCAGTGCGCCTGAAACGGCTTTCTTTTTTCATGATATACCAATCAGAATGGAGGGTCCTACCTACGTACATGATTGATAGAATCGCTACGTATGGGGGGTCGGTCGGTCAACTTGATGCGGGAGAGGCATGAGTGCAGTCCGATCTTGTGGCGTATTTGTTTGTGGTGAGTAGGGCCTCTTTCTCGTTGATCAGTTCGACCCCGCTCTATTGAACGAAAGGTCTCCATTCCTACTGCGGTTTTGTCAACAAACGCGTCTCGGGCCGGATTGACTAACCTAACCTTTAAGGAGGACTTGCCGTAGTTGGGTGCTCTGCTTTAGTGTGATTGACGAAGGCTAGGCTGGGTTTGGTAATACCAAAACAAATGAAAAGAGATCGGGGTCGATAGTTGACAAGGAACTTGATCCCCCCCAAAAAAAGGGGGCAGCTGTGGTCGAACTCACATTC